CCCCCCCCCCCCCCCCCCCCCCCCCCCCCCCCCCCCCCCCCCCCCCCCCCCCCCCCCCCCCCCCCAACAGAACCACCACAATTCAAAATTATTTCGGTGAGCTTTTTCTACCTGAAATCCTGCTCATCGGGAGTTCTTAGAATATCCTTTAAAAGCGAGAGAATAGACAATCCTGTAAGTCAATTCCACAGGCTAATAAAGACACACTATGCCATAATTTCTCTATTTCTATCGAAAATTTCTTATGATAGACTAACAAATGAAGTTGCGATCATATCTTATTTCATGGATCAGTATCCACGGGAAACATTTTGGCATCAACTCATATTTCGCTCAATAATTAGACTTCGAATAAATCTAAGAAACCGATTCCAAATATATATAAATACGTACTATGAATTGGATCGGGATTAGTATGAACAAATGACCATCTTCGATTATCAATGTCAAATACCGGTAACTAGAAATTTCAGTATTTATAAATGAAAAATAAATCATTAATATTTTCATATACAAACGTTTTCAAGTGAGTACGATATGCCCGAACCACCGCCGCCACCAAATACGAATATTTTTTGATCATATAAATACACTTCTTGCCGATATCTGATATTAATTCAAAGAGAGAGAAGAAACTCATCAATACAAGAAAATAATTTTCTCTAAAAGCTCCTCTTACCTCCCATTTTCATTGAACTCGTCGATTTCATCAAATGTGTGTCCAATCTGTGTACACGTTAACGTCGGTAGATGAATATCATATACATTTGTATTATAACTCCATCGATTTGTGCCACATAATATATATAAATGATCATTGTGTACAAGCATACTCTAAAGAAAAACAAAAGTTTCTAATTTTCATCAAATAGCAAACAGATTTTACAGCTCCATAAACTTGTTCGGGTTCTTGATTGGCTATAGGACAATGTTTCCATTGAAGTCGTTTTAAATCCAGTATATATAATCGATTGGAAACAGTTTCACCAAATGGAAACCCCGTACCACCAAATACAAAAGCTAAATTTCTATATAAGCACACTACAATAAAAATATTCATTTATTAATCCATAAAAAATCAACAGACGTTGCAATATCTACTCGAATGTGAAGCAAGTGTTAAATTGGGTCCATCGCCTTCTACAGTTTCGAGCGTCCATTCTCGACGAGCATAATTGAATCTCCAAAGCTGAACAAAAAAATTGGATAAAATTGATTAATCAGCAAATTATTTTAATTCATACTTCGTTAAACATTGGTTGCTGTTGATGGTTAAAAGATGGAAAGTAACCGCCCCATATCCAGAAATCTGACTCGGTAGCAACAGCACGATGACCTGAACGTGGGAGCGGTTTATTGTTATTATCTAATGGGGAAACTTCAGCAAAACGCATTAAATTAATTGATGAAATATATTTTGTTGATAAACGAAAAGGTTGTTTCGATCTGTTTGTATTTGCAGAATCGTTCATTTCTGATGATTCTGTTGAACTTTTCTGGTTTGTTGTCGGATCGTCAGTCATGATTAATTAACTATTGCGCACGAATAATGATATCATTTTAAAAACAAAATCAATTGAAAGTACTATGCAATTAGAAGAAAAAAAGTATGAAGTTTTCATTCTTCTACTCATCGAAATCAGTTCCGATCCCGCTAAGAAGAAGAAGAAACTTCAGGGGTGGTACATTATGGAATAAAGGATTCTTTTTTTATGCAATAATTTGTTAATAGGTGGATAGAATCATGGAGCTGATATGCAGAAAGACTTTTACAATCGAAAAAATGCATTTCGAGCAAAAGCTATGTAGTATGAAACGATTTCAATTTGCAACGTTTTCCAGATATTTAGCAGTTATCGACTCTAAAAACAGTGAATAGATCCAACACTAATGTCACATTCAGAATCAGGGTAACGAATAATTTTGAGACGTTCGTTTTTGGAGTCGATGTCTGCTAAATATCTGGGAAATATTCCAAATTTATTTCGCTTCATACTACCTTGGTATTGCTCGAAATAATTATAAAAGTCTTTCTGAATATCAGCTCTATGATTCTCTGCATTTATTAGCAAATTATTGCATAAAATAGAATCCTTTATTTCTTTAATTCACCTTTATCCTTTATTTTAAAGGATAATAAACATAAAGGATCATCTCTAGAAGAAAGCGAGATATTCGTACTCTTGAGTGCAGGTGAAGTCGATGAAAAGTACAATGAAGTAGACCTGAGTTTAAGTTTTAGTAAAGAAATAAAACATGCGAGCATTGAAAAGGCATTTTAAATGTAAGACGGAGAAATTGCACAACATTTTTCTCTAAATAAAGATAGACAATAGAATAGATAGAATCACCGGGATCGGAACCGAAGTAATGGGATCTTGCACGTCTCTAATCGTCATAGATCTCATTTATCTTGAATCCAATTAGAATATCATTAAAAAAAACTCATTTATCATACCTGTCAAAACAGTCAAATAAATAAAATTGTAACTGTGATATAAATTTTCTAACGAAAAATAAAATAAATCTGAAAAAGAAGAAAAACAATATATTGAAATAACAATCATAACAATTTTTCTTAAAATTTCTCATTAGTATAACCAGCTGCTATACCAGATTTTCCTTCTTTAAGTTCTGATATAGGCTGATTTATTTGCTCTTCATTTATATTTTCTGTTATTTGTAGACCCCACCAAGCATGACTACCATCAAGACCTCGATTCGCTCCATCTCGTTGTTGCAATAGAAGCGCATTTGGATTCTTAAGTATTAATGCATTATTTTCTTCGTTTTCATTTTTTTCATTTTCATCAATTGGCTTCAGAGTCTTCAAAATTTGTCTTAAATCAAACAGATAATTTAATGATAAACTATCATCATCTTTTGCAAATGCATGTAGAATATCGTTAATACTAATTAATGGTATATTAAATTGTTTATAGTCAGGTGACAGCCATATGCTTTCTGTACACGATGAACAGAGAACATAAACATCAACAGTACGTTCGAAATTATTCATTTTTGCGATTGATAATGTATTCATTAGATACGTATAATATTGACGATTGTGTTGATCAAATAATTTTTTTATATGGTCAAGCAGTGTAAGAATAGTTGTTGGAAGATTCAATAGAGAATTCGATGATGTGAGTAAACCAAATGACGAAGCATTTCGAGCGCATTCTATTGCATACATACGTTTACTTAATAGTTTTTTAGCTGATATGGAACTATCGGATGGAAACGAACTGAATGAAAACGCAAAAAAACTGAATATTATTTGAATAGTTTGTTTTATAGTTACCGAAAATCGTAAGCATAGAAATGAAGAGTGAAATTGTGCAATGAAGCTTTTGAATGAGAAATGAAAACGATGGAATAATTCGATGGATCAAGTGGGACAGGTATATTTACTGAACGACCATACAGTGAGAAATGTAGAGGATCAGTAGAATGCGGTGAACTGATTTTAGAGAATATGAAACGAGACGATGGCGTGTGTTGTTCAATGGCATCACGAAAGCATGGATCATAAAAAACAAGACAATAAGGTTTGCTGTTATCTTGATTTGTTAAAAGAAAATTTGATGCATCGTCGCTAATAAAGAAAAAAAAGAATAGAATTTATGGCATCGATAGGATCTAATAAAAGTTTATCGTAGCATCTTTCTGTTTCGCTGGGTAATCTATTGAATTCAGTTTGAATAAATCAAGATTAAAAGGCAGTTCAAGGATTTAAATTGATGAAGAGCTAAAAAAAAGCGTCACAAGTAATATTTTAGTTTGAATTTGGGATTTGATTCCAAATTTACATAAGAATACTAACAGGTTACCTATACTCGAAATTTCTAACTCATCGGCATAGTCTTATGAATTTCAATAGAAAAATCCGTTAACCAATATTATCATTAGTTTTTAAATGATTATGAAACACACGTACGGTAATGATTGCTGATAGAATACATAGAATATAGGTGTTGTTTGTTGATTATCGTCACTAGATGATGAAAGGCATGAGTGTCCAAAATGAATTAAACCTTGTGCATTACAATATTGTGCATTTAATAAATCATTACAACATGGTGAACATCCGTCACCAACAAGAAATATTTCTATTTGTCTATCATGAATCGATGATGTTAATAGGTCTATCAAATCTTGTATTTTATCAAGATCGTCATCAGGCACTTGTAAAGCAATAGTATGAAAATTATTATCTTCAATCCATTTCACACAAGATTCTATTTCAAATTTATTCATCTGAAATACATCGAATAAAGAATAGATAGATATACACATTTAGTTTATTTTCTTTCCATACGTTTTGCTTCACACACAAAATCATGAACTATCTAGGAACGATTTGAACAAAGACAAAACAAGAAGAACAAGAGAAAGAAATTCAGCGGAGAGAAAAAGAAGAAATTAAATGATTGTCTTTGATCTGACTTGCACGACAACAACAACAACAGCAGCAGCAAAAAAATATATAAATTTCTATTTATTGTTCCATTGTTGCGATGATGATGATGAGGAAGACGATGGTCGGGGCCGCTTATTATTATTATTGTTAGGATCAAATGCTGGATCATAAGGACGTTTTTCGCCACCAATATGCATCAGTGAAGGTGGATGATTATGTCCATAAGGTGGTTGTTGAGGATAAGGATTCGCTGGTGGTGGAACATTATTATAATGACTACCGCGTGGTTGTGCACCATAGGGTGGCCGATTTGCTGAAGATGCTGATGGTGGTGGTGGTGGTGGTGGTGGCAGTGGTGGAGCAGGATGATCAAATGAATGCACAGGTGGTGGTGGTTTACGATCCACAACTAAATAAAATAAAATAGGAACATTTTCGAACAGCTCCAGTAAGACTAAAATGTGAAACATGATGTAGGCGCTTTGTCTTGTTACAAGGAAATTGTTTTATTAGATCTAATTTTCTGTTATTCTCTTAGATCAATCTTGGTTGCAACCTATAAGCAAGATTCACATTTTAGAATATTACCATGTTGAGGAGGTGGAAGTGGTGGTGGTTGTGATGATCGATTTGGAGGTGGTGGTGGTGGTCCAGGTCGCGCTTGTTGTTGTGGATAACGAGATTGTTGATTGTAATTATTATTGTTTGTGTTATGATGGTTTTGATAATGAGAATTCGGTGGATGTTGAAATGATTGAGGCCGAGATGATGACATCGCATTATGTGGTGGCATTGGTGGACGATTCGATGATGAAAATGATGGAGCTGCTGTGGGTTCCCGTTTAATAGGCATAGATGATGACTGAGATTGAGAAGGAATGGGTGGTGGCAGTGGTTGTGCTGGACGATTAGTTTGCGCTGATGTTTGGTTTTGTCGATGTTCAATTTTATCACGAAAAGCACCTTGTGGTACAACACTGTCAGCTAAATCTGTAAGACGAGGTGGTACATTACTAGTCGATGATGATGCACCATCATTTGAGGTTGACTGTGGTTGCTTTAAAACAAAACAAAAACAAAATAGGGAAAAATTGAATAGAAAAATCTAACGAACTCGTTCGTTTTGATAAACAAGTTTTTTCTTGATTTTATCGGGACATTTTTCATAGATAGCCAGAAATTCATCAGCCAGTTCTGGAAAATTAGAAAAAATAAGTTTGTTTTTATGAAAACAAAATTATATCTACCTCCAAGTTGTTTCTCCGTGAATGCTTCATTAACTAGATGAAACCAACGTTTATTTGATGTATTTTCCGTTCCTGTACTTTCAGACCCATTGCGAGGTGTTGCTATTGGTGCTGGCGAAGGAATCTATAAGAATTATTTTAATCATAGAAAAACAACAAAAAAATTATGATTTTGCTTTTACTTCTATTTTAAGCCAAGCAGCAGCCAAATGTATACAAAAACAGGCAACAAGATCAGGTGGATATTTGACACAAAATGACGTAAGTAAAATACTAGAAGAAATGACTAGGTGAATATGTGTGTGTGTTCACAACAAAATCACCACCTTTTCGTCGCTAAATAATAAGCCGTCTGTGCAAGTTCACGAGGCGCTAAAAGAAATTAACGTTAACATTTTTATCACATCAAAAAATTTATTTATTAATCTTACTTTTTTCTGGTAACGACTGAATTTGACCTAAAAAAATTAATTACAGCCACTTAATAATATATTGTTACGTATAGGTTTCTTTATCATTAATATGAGACTCATAAAATCATACGATATATTAGAATCCAATAGCAGAGAAAAATAGGCAACTGAAATTGAGCTGCCTATATATAATTATTTAATTGAAATTTATTTCAATGAAACTATTGTTTATCGTTTGAATTCTCCGAATAGGGTCAATTCAATAGCGGATTATGAATGAAATATGAAAAAAATCATAAGTTTAAATTGGTTGAAGTAAACCAATGCATCTAAAGATTCTGTCTCGCACTAGTGTAAGAAACATAAATAGAAGCTCGCTACTGATTATTTTCTGGTGAGGAATCAGATCAGACCATACTCATCTGTTAGAGATTTTTCTATTCTTATTATTTTTTTTTAAATAATTTTAACGTACGATTAAAAAACTATAAAAATCGAAGGCTAATAATACTATCACCTTCTCAGACCTGTTAGCCATTCAGTCAAAGATATCAATGAAGAAAACCATCATCGAAATCAGAAGAAAAGATTTTCTCGTCCGTAGAAATCCCTGAAGAGTCACCTTCAGTGGAAAAACAAAAATTCCCACTCTTTCGTTCTTTCTATATCCTAGGGAAAAACGTCATTTAACATACTTCCGAGTGCTTGAATGGTTTTAATAATAATTGGATGTGGATGATCAACCATTAATGAAAATCCTGCGTATAAAAATAATTCTTTTTTTTCGGACCTTTTTCGCTCAATTCTTTTTTACCCAACGTCGAAAGAAGAATATTTTCATGTAAAACAATATCTTCCGCGTACTGTTCAATCATCTAAAATAGATAAAAAATAAAACAATGTCATTGTTTTCCGTATGACGCAATCCTCTTACTTCTTTCGTAAGTTCTTCCGCTTTTTTTCTTCGCAATACTTTTCCTGTATTTTCAATTACATCTCGTAATGTACGAGGAAATTCTTCGACTTTGCAGGCCAGAAATAACGAAGCCGCACATATTCTCTATAAAAATTTAAAAAAAAAGGTATTTATAATTTTGTTTTCTTTTATTGAGCTTTCGGCAGAATAAACGTTCGTCCTCATCCATGCTCAATCATTTTTCGCCTTTCCGAAACAATACAGATAAAGACGAAGACATTGCATATCTTATAGGAGTTCCCTTTTAGAATGAATACGGAGAGTAGAATTGCCTTCCGTTCGAAAATGATTTTGTGTTATTTGAGCGTATATTCAGAATTTTTACGATACCCTTGCCCTCCTTCCTAGCTGAATACCACTCTCGAAGAAGAAGAATATTTCTGAATCCACCTCTGTCGTTTCATTTACTTGACGAGTAAACCGTTGAAATGAATTGATCATGTAAAATCGGTGCATATAAACAACTGCTGTATTAATACAATAATGTGGACTAAAATTGAAATTGGAAAAATAGAACTTTCTATACTAAAAATATCATTATGAAATACTTACACTTTCAAATTGGTTCCTAACTCATAGATGAAGACAGCAGCTTGCTGTCTCAATGCTAATTCTTCTTCAGGTTTTATACCATTTCGATTTGATGGTGTTGAAGTAAATTTATCGGCGGAAAATATCCAATTGAATCTTGCTTTTGGTAGTGCCGGACCCGATATAGCAACTGATGCTGTTTGCATTTTGAATCGTTAAATAAACTATAGATGAAGAAATGAAGAAAGAATTATGTCGATGCTACGACTGACGTACAGTTGGGAAAGAGTATTAATCATAAATATATAAAGAGACAATCAATGCGATTTTTGAATTGATTGTGGCGACCACCTATTGTTTAGAGGATGAAATACCACCGAGACCAGCATGGCTGTAGACCGTTCTGATTGCATTTTTAGTTCAACCAATCGAAGAGAATGTAAGCAAATGGTCTAAATTCCGAAAATGCAATTGATCGATGATTAATGAAAAATAAAAATGCTTTTTGGTACTGCTCAACGATGAAATAATCAAAAAAAGGAAATCGATAAACTCTACGATCATAGTCTTGATCAATATATATGTTCTGTGCTTTTTTATATTAAAAATTCGAGTGAAGTCCGTAGAGCAAATTTAATCCGGTTCATTTTACTTGTTACTAAATATTGCTGAATACTATTTTTCGTAGTGACATATAAATCTAATGATAGGAAATAGCCTGATTGGTACGAAAATAAATTTAAACTTTGAGAACAGTGTATAAAGTCCATCGTAAATCAGGTTTGTATTCGATGAAACCTATAGACTTCAAGCAATGAACGATTTCGGACGATTTTCTTGGCCCTTCATTAATGCATGTGTGATATTCCAATGAGTTATTGAAAATAGGGATGTAACAATACCATTTGGAGACACATAAAGATTGCCAATTTTCACAATAAAAAACTACCAATCTTTATGTGTCTTCAAATGGTATTGTTACATCCCTAATTGAAAATAAAGTCATCCATTTGCCGATTTAAAGAATGAGATTTGTAGTATCATATATACATTTTGTAACTCCGTGGACATTCATATTTCTTGACTTATGTCTTAAGAATCAATTCTAAAAGAATTTTGATTAACCATGCATTGTCAAACACATGATATTGGCGTTGAAGCTGTTGTACCTGAAGGTCGAGAAAGAATATGCCGGGGTGACCACTGATTTCTCCGCTATTACATTTGAGCGAAAGGCGATTGTTATACCGTTTGAAAAACGAGATTTCCAGGAGAAGGCAGATATAAAAATATTTTCGAGCATATGTGAAATGGCTGTAAACCAACTTGAATAAAACGAGAATAAAATTTGATATTGCTATTAGGGACACTGGCCCTATATGAAGTTTCAAAATTTACACCATTCGAAAGGTTTAGGTGGTTTTATGATGCTTGCTATTAAAAGTGAATATATTTCTATTTCGGTCTCATGCAAATCTATTTCAGGCAATAGTATGAATTGAAAAATCATTCGTAAACTATAATTTTATTGACATCATAATCAATGTGTAAGACCGAAAAGTAATACTCCACTTCAATGTCAAGATTTTATCAACGATATTCTAAAATAAATGTGGAAACATTGGATTCGCATCCCATTGTTATGTGTACTGAAAAAACTGAGTCGATTTATATGTTTTGAATAATTCTGAGAAAAATTTTTTTTTTGAAAAAAATCCCGGGGGGGGGGGGGGGGGGGGGGGGGGGGGGGGGGGGGGGGGGGGG